TTTCGTCACTCTCACCGAGGGCGTTCAAGCCTCACCCCGAGAGGTGGAGGGCTGGGGGAATTGGAGTTTAGGCGTTCGGGCTCCATTGCCACGTCAGAGCCTCCCGTGACTTTAAAAGTTATCATCTTAAAGCCAAGGACGACTCTGCCGCCTGCCTCTGCCGATGAATCGTCCACAGAAAAGGTTACTAAGAATCCATTCTCCTCGTCCCTACGGTGGAGGATTCTCCAGAGCTCAGTATGGAGCCCTTCATTTTGTGCCCTTAACTGCATAGCTACCTCCTCTGGAGAGTCGGCTTCGCTGCGGAGCAAGTAGGTAATGCCCAGCTGAGGCTTAGGCAGTTCGCCCTCGGTTATTACCGATAGCTCTGCCTCCGGCCAGGGCTTCAATTTTCCGATTTCACCCACAATCCAGTCCTGGCTTACCTCATTCAGGCACAGTACCAGAATCCAACCTCGCTTGTAGTTGAAACCCGAAAATTTGGACCCATTCCCGGTTGCGCCCCACAGGTCGTCTTAGCGATGGCCTGTGTTAGTGCCCGGTGGACCAGCCGCATCTGCTCCACACTCATAGGATTCGAATTGCGAATTCCAGCCAGCCACGGCACCGAAGCTGAGCTTCTTCTCTCCCGTTTCCAGCTTCACAGACTTCCTGGGCTGGTCTTTGGGGTACTCTTCCTGAGATCGACTGAGGTTTTTCGCCTTCGGAAGTGGGGGAGGCGTGGGTAGAGGAATTTCGTCCCAGGGTTTTTGGCAGAGAGAGAGGGCCTCTTCGGCTCCTATCTCAACTGCTGTCAGCCTTCAGTACCTTTTCCTTGCTGCCCCACTAAGCTTATAAGGCCTAGCGATTTTTTTCTTTTCCCCTCCCTGGTTCGTTTCCGATTGTGGTTCGGCTGCAGACGTGCCCTCCACTTCACGCCTCTTCCCAGTTTGGGGCATAATGTTGCAGGGTGTTGGTGAGACTTAAAGAGCCTCTTCTAAACCTACAGCAAGTTCCATTAAGGGAGATTTCTCAGTATCTTTTTCAAAATGTCGGTTTTCGCCCCACGATTAGCTAAGGAAATACTCGGTCATCCCCGGCAGAGCCCCGCATGCCGAGGGAAGGGCTAAAATACTACCGTTTGCGACTATGCTCCCTCCAGCCACGTATCTATCGGCACGGTAAGCTTGACACTTTGGATTGGGTTAGGATAGGAAAATGGGGTGGAATAAAAGAAAAGAAAAAGAGGATCGTCCGAGTGTTTCTGTTCTGTCTGTTTCCTATTGAACCAGACCAAATAACAAGTGGCAACCACGTGAAAGAGAACTCATCAGACTTGCCCTGGGGATCAACACTTGCGGGACTTGCGCTCTCCCCCAGAGCCGTACGCCAAACTGCTCGCCGGACAGGAGAGCAGAATAGGTGTTAATCTATTCCTATTTATAATATCAAAAAGTTAAGAGTAGACTAATCCCCACCCACTATACGGTATTGATGGGAGACTTCAACGCAAAACTAGGCACAAGAGAAAGCGGTGAGCTGAAGTTAGGGAAATTTGAAATAGGGCAACGGAACCCTAAAGGCCAGCACCTTTCCAACTTTATGGAGAAAGAGGGACTCTTTACGATGAACTCTTTTCCAGAAGCAGCCCCACAGAAAGTGAACCTGGTCGAGCCCCGACGATTCGACAAAAATGAGATTGACTTCATTATCACGACCAGACGCCAACTGTTCAGTGATGTCTCAGTGATCGTGAGGGTGAAAACTGACAGCGATCACCGAATGGTTAGAGGCACACTGAACTTAAACGTTAAGTTGGACAGGTCTCGTCTAATATAGTCAATGCTCCGTTCCCCTCGTGCGCTAATCCAGGGTTCAGAAAACTTTCAGATCGAATTACAAAATCGTTTTCAGTGCCTAGAAGACTGCAAAACAGTGGACGATATGAATGACAAGCTCGTGGAAACTGCATATGCGGTCTGAGCTAAGTTTTGCAAAACCCGCCGCAGAAGAACACAAAAGCTCTCCGACCACACTCTTAATCTCATGGATGTTAGACGGGAGATGAAGCTGCAGTCGTCAGCAGATTTGACAGCATATAGGCAACTGACTAGACAAATCTTTAAATGCATGCGGCAGAACTTACGCAACTTCAATACATCTCGTATTGAAGAAGCGATTGAGCAGAACCAGGGCTCCAAAGTCTTTCCCAGAGACTTGTTTGCCAGAAAGAGCCAACTGTTAAAGCTGAAGACTGAGTGTGGCAGCATCGTTTCCGGGACACCTGAGATTTTTAGTGAGATTGAGAGATTCTATGCGCAGCCGCAGCACGCGGAAACATAAAATATTTATACGACGTAACGTCGTAGCTATTCACAGCTGATTGAAAATGACAAGGTCAAGGACTAAGGTCGGTGTGTTACAAATTCATTGTTTTATAGCTAGTACTTAAAGTAGGGTGCGTATGATTTGAATTTCGATAGTTTTTAATTGATTTATTTATTTAGTTCAAAATTTTTGTTTTTTTTTGTACGGAAAGTTTATTTCATTAGTAGTATTTATTCATAGATCAATTTCATAGTACTCGTATGTTAATGAATTTTAAAAAAATATCAGTGACACAGGCTTCTACTCCGTTCACCTGTTGCACTCTATTTTTTCCAGATGGAAAAAAATCATTCAGTATACTGAATATTAGACAAGGACAGAGATAAATGTTAGAAAAGTATGGCAACTGCCTCCCATAGGTTCATGAGAGTCATCCCCCCAAACGAGTTCCCGCCTTGTTGTGACGGGGGAGCTTGAAAGCCGTGGTTTGGTCACCCGCGGTGTACTAAGAGGAACCCACACGGCTGACCCCAGATGTAGGGCCGGTCTTAGGATGCCAAACCGAGAGCTGAGGCTGAGCGACAGTGGCGAAGCCTCCATAGAAGCACAGAAGCCGGGCTTGCTCTATCAAACTGCTCAATCAATAATATCAACTAATAAAATAACTCGTAAACCGTTTCAAACTATTTCAAATTTGCTGTGCTGTTTTCTAGGCAGGGCATGACCTCGTAAAACTAAACCCAAGCGTATCACCGCAAGATTTCAAGGCAGAGTAAGTTCATTCTGCACAGATCGGACCGTAAAAAATAATTAAAAAGCTGAAGGTACTCCAGGTTAACATTGACATTGGGACGTCAGTCACCGCAGTCCCATGCTGAAAAGTACCCGAAACGTCGGGAATTAAAAATCGTTTAAAATTAAACGCGATAAAATTCGTAAAAGTAGTTTTATTCATTGTATAGTGTTCGCGTATATATATATATATATATATAGAAATCATTATCAACGTGTTTTATCAAAAACGTGATCCACTAGGTCCAGCTTTTTAGTTTGGGAATTCATTTATTTCAATTGAAATCCAAGCGAATGTTTGGTATCAGAGGTAAAGAGATGTTGGTGATCTTACACATATTTTTAAAAACTTTAAAAATATTGGTCTTGAACCAAATAGCAATAAATGTGATATATTTATTTCCCATAATGTATCTAACTCTAACAGAGATACTTTAATTAAAAGTTTCAATCATATTTCTCCAGGAATAAAAACTATCAATACGGAATGTCTATACCTGCTCGTTGCTTTGTTGTTTTTCGATAGTATTAAACCTATTTTAAAAACAAAATTTTATTTTTAAAACACGTTGATACATTGTATATCTTAAACCCCCATATTGCCCTTACTATTTTAATACTTAATACGCTCAAGTCCAGTCTGGAAATGTTCTGATATTTTAAAAGATATTGATGATAATCATAAAATAACAATACTTCTACTAAATTTGAGATTAAATACAACAGCCTGGAATCAAGTTACTTTACCTATAAAATTTGGCGGTATTGGTGTAAAAAATCTTTCTAGCGTCGCGTTGCCTGCTTTCCTTGCTTCCTTGCATAGTGTCATTTTAAACAATAAAATAGACCTGTAATTTGTTGCGTAGGCAAGACAATCATGGCTAAAGCTCTGTCCCGGCAAAAATGTCCCACAGGAAGTTAACCAAAAAAAAAAAAACAGTGGGATATTCCAAGATCCAAGACCAAGATCAGGCTCGCCTTCTAGCTGTTTCGACTAGAAAACTAGTCACTGATTATTTGATGGATGGTACAATCCATCAAATTAAATAATTAGCTGTCATTATATTAGGGAGATGATACTGACTCTCGTAACATAAGTTTTCTAACTTAGCTTGGGAGTCAAGGGCTTTAAAAAATATTGTAACAAATTTTATGTCAATAAAGATTATTATTATGACTTTTGTAGCCATTTTCGTCGCCATTAGATATACTTATCTTTTTAACACAATGCGCAATGTGTTTTATAATTATTATTTGGGACTGATCAAATGAACGAATAATTTTTCGTTCAAACATCGAAAAAACTGACGAGTATAATTTTCGAAAATGGATATAAGCTTTCTATGACCGCTGATCGATGGACTAAGGAGCACCATATCGTTCGCGTAGCTAAGGGTATCAAACGCTACACAATGCTTGCAAAGTAAGTTATGAATTAAATTGCTGTACTTATATCAAGAACTAACTTTTCATTCTTACTACAGGCGAATTGTTATTTACTATCAATAATTTTATGTGGACACATTTTAATTTTTTTTTATATTTAAACTTAACATTTGAGCGTATTTAGTTGGTAAAGGTAATTACCCCATATGACGCTCGCTCCGCCTACTACCTTGCTTGTTTTATCAATAGTTTCACACTTCACGTACCAACACTAGCACTGCTAGTTAAAGTATACTTTCGAAATTTTTTAGACCACTAACAATAAAATACTAAACGCAACGAAATCATTTTGCATTAAATTTAAATAGTGCTTTTATATCTTAAAAATTTCTTACTAAAACACCTTGATTATGATACTTTTTAGTTACGTTCGAAAAGATTCCACATAGGGAATATAATGTAAATTACAAAAGTTATTACCAATGACATTGAAAAAACGCTTTTAATTTTTTGTAATGGATAGTTTAAGTGAACAAGATAAAGCAGACGCGCGTGAGGAGTTCGAAAATCAGTTGCGTTACGCTTTTGTCAAATTTGATTATCCAGAAGAAGATGAAGAACCATCAGAGGTAGGTTTCTCATCGAATTGTATTAAGATGGACACTGAAAGACAAAATAAGACTGCAAGACGACATCAATTCTTAAATGAATTATATCGTCTTGCAATGTATTGATTTCTACTTGATTAATTTATTGTTTGTTAAATATTTAAATCCTTCTAAATTATTATGCCGTTTGGTGACAGCAGAAGAAAGTACGATTATGAACTCGCTTACCAAACGTGGAAAAGCGATTTAAAGTGGAGATTACTAGCAATGGAGTTTTAATTCGCTACCATGATCATGATGATAACAATTGATGAGGTTGAAACTCTTGAAAAGCTTGTTTTAGTTTTAGAGCAGCTCTTTTTTTCTCTGTCTTCCTTTTTACCTGCTTGTAATTTATTTTAAAAAATGACATTTCATTTAATTGAAAGATTTTAATATACGACTCAGATGCTTAAAACACAACATGTAGATAATTACAACGGCTCAATCCAATTTCTTTACAATTTGGCGTACTTTCATAACATTATATATTAAACATATTTCGTTTACGCTAAACGTAAGATATCGGGAACGGCGTCGGCGAATAAGTATTTAAATACTTTTAAATATATAATAGATTATTTTATATATTAAAGTATTTAATTTAATTTGTATCATCATTTAGGTTTAAAATAATCATCAACGATATTTTATCATTTATCATTTTCTATTTAACAAAAAAAGCTCTGAGCTCTTCGGATAAAATATAGCCAATATCACTCCTGGCATTTTTCTCTATATTATGTTTGTGAAGTTTTATCAAATTCGGTTTAACCATTGGGAAGATTAGCTCGAAAGTACAGACAGACAAAAACTTTAAAAATTGTTATTAATGTCTTAAAGGCATCATAAATACCCTTTGAGCTCAAAAGAATAAAAGACAGTTATTTCTCTGTTACAGACAGATACTTTGATTTTATTGATATGTTATATATTGATGTATAGATTAAAGACGCCATTCCTGACTGGTAACATAGAAATATGTTCGTAGATATTATAGTCTCTGATAGAGATAGATATTCTAGATAGAAGCTCTTTATTTTTGTTTCTGCTTTGAAGTTTGTCTGGGTAGGTGCATATACCTGAGGTCGCCAAGCAGCAGATGCAGTGGGCTTACTGCTGTGTCTGGTCTAAGACGTACATTTAAAAGTCATGAGGCATTCTATATTAGTTTCTTAGTCCTCACAAGTAACAAATCACCTGTAGAGGTGTGGTAGGAAAATGGGAGATCTCCCGCCGGGCAAGGTATTCTGCCCGAGGAGCGGCCAACACTCCGTGTGATAGTTCGGAGATGTTCTATATATACTGATTATGATTCGGAATGATGATAGCGCAATTTAGGCTTCGGTGTGTTTCGCTTGCGGCGCGATGACAGCGCCGCCACATCACCCCCCTGCTCAGACCGGAGGTCAATATTGCAGCCTCGTTGCCGACGAATGTGCAAGTGCCAGTGGATTGCCTTGTAGTCTGCGGTGAGTCGAAATAAAGGCAAGTAATATGCGAAAATGCCGTGAAGCAGAGGCGAGCAGTAAGGCTCAGAGCCGTGTCGAACACAGTACAGCGCAGAGAGTAGCTTGAAGGAACAGGAAGCATTATTATTCCAGTGCTGCGATGAACCTTGTGAAGCTAGATGGCTTGCAGGATATGAAGACTGCAGACGATATCTGCTCGGGAGTGAATGGGTAGGGTATTCTATGACGATGATGAAGCTTGAAGTTTCAAAGGTTGTTGGTTGCGTGTTCAGATCACGTCGGTTAGTCAACACTGTGGCCGTGGAAGGAAAAGGGGAGATCTCGCGCTGGGCAAGGTGTTCTGCCCGGGGAGCGGCCAACGCTCCATGTGATAGTTCTGAGATGTTCTATATATACTGATTATGATTCGGAATGATTATAGCGTGATTTAGGCTTCGGTGTGTTTCGCTTGCGGCGCGATGACAGCGCCGCCACACACCAATAGCCTTCCTTGTTAGAAGTTGTTTACAGGTGTGCAAACGCTGCTGTAGCCTTTTACCATCGGGAAGGCTTTCTGTTGTGGTAATTCCGTTTATCATTTAACTTTTATAAAAAGAGGATGAAGGTTTAACTATGCTATATTTATTTTAGATAAAAATATACACAGATTAGCAATGTTAGTCCGCAGAACGAAATCCAGTGTACCTGAACAGTGATTATAAAAATATTGTCTGCTCAGTGTGAACCACATAGTAAGAAGTGGAATGAAAATGTCTAAAAAATATAAACAGGCTGTTAAACCCTTTAAGCCATTAGCAAATTTAATTTTGGGTTATAGCTCTAAGTAAATACAGGCATACTAAATTAATATTTATTGTTAACACCATAACAAACACGGTACAAATGACGGACTAAGGCTTATCGACATTCTCTGCCAGTCAACCCGTGGAGCGATGTTATTTCGTGGCAGGTGCAATTACAGAAATACATACTATACATAAAGTGTATGTTAATGTATAAACAAAACATGTTTAATAATATATTATACAAATCAATATTTATACCATATATGATTATTAAACAAATAATATATTAAAATTGCAAATAATAAAAGATCTAACTACTTGTACCTATATCAACAACATCATTTCATCATCTATCATTAACTAATAAGAAATCCTGCCAAAATACAGGTTATAATCATAGGGACCAGAAAATATACCTATGTCGTCTTAACTATCGACGTCTACCTAAGGTCATTCTAAACGATGTAGATTTAGAATATGCTAGGCAGGTTAAGAACTTCGACTTAAATTTGGCTGACGATCTGAGTTGGGTACTGTAAGTTAATGAGGTCTTGAAACGTATTTTTAGCCCAATGTATTCATTAAGGCTATGGCAAAAATTTATGCCTCAGACGGCCAAGGTTACGCTAGTCAACTCTCTCCTGTTTCCTGTTTTAGATTATGCTGATATTGCTTATTCAGATATAACTGAGAAGTTACTTAGAAAAATCGACCGTCTACTCAATCTGTGCATACGCTATATTTTTAGCATGCGCATGTTTGATAATATATCGCAATTTCGCTCAAGACTTAAGAGGCTCGACCACCGTTTTCGCCGGAACACACACCATCTAAACACTTTGTGTGGTATTCATACTTAAGCTTATCCCGTTTGATGACTAACAAAACTTTAACTATCTCGATGCAAAAATCTACAATGCGAAAAACATTTACATGTATCCTATAGATATATTAGCCCGCGAGATAATGAGATAGAGGTAAAATTAGTTGTGTTAAGGCCATAAGGCGTCACCACGTTCCGCCTTAAGAGTCAATCAATTTTTGTTAGATAAAATAGTTTTACCTATAGAATGAAGTAGATGGTGCTGTAACAAAACAGTTTTATTCTAAAAAAATATTAATTTTATTTTGAAGGTTTCACTTCTACCGCGTGTGAACTGCACTAATGTTTTATTTCTACGTTTATCGTATGATTTATTTATTTTTATTTTCGGTATATTTTTAATTTAATAATTTTAATAAGACTTTTGAATAAAAAAGTATATAATAAAATTAGTGTATTATTAGGCTACTATTTGCGTCAAATAAAACATTATACCAATCTTCGGTAACATTAACAGTAGTAGGTTAAGGTGCGGTCCCGGTGGCCATTTGACCGCACAAAAGTCGAAAATATAATACCTATTGTTTTTCGTGGTATATTATAGTTGTAGCACGAATAGGTCGGCTCGACCGCGGTAGGACCACGCTCTCACAGAATACCAACATAAAATAGCAGATCAATACTGCCGTGTTGTTTCGTATGGTTAGTGTAGAGACCTGGAAACGAGGCAGACAAAGAAAAACTGGAAAAGAGGATGACAACGTATCCACATTATGATTTTTAAGCGAGGATAAATGTAGATGTCTATGGGCCACAGCATCCACTTAACATCACGTGGACTGTGTGCTCGTTTGTCATCGTTTTCTATAAAAAAAAAACATATTGAAAGAATTGAACTCTTTATCTTGAAGTATTTTTTAGTATTAACGTTTGATTGATTAGCAAATTAATTTTTAACAACTTTAACATTAATAACTCACTGTCATAAAGTAATTAACATGGTTTGGGTTTCGTTAGGTTAGGTTATATCAAATTGCACAACAGTTATGTAGCAGTATTCAATGACAGGCGTGTGATATATAATGAAATTTAAATTAGTGTAAATTACTTAGTCCAATTCGACTTATCATATCACTTGGTTTATAACATATATATATATATATATATATATATATATATATATATATATATATATATATATATATTATATAAACGTAAACTCTTCCAAATACCTCCTGCAGATGTTTCGGGGGGACTTAGCCTTTTTTTTTTTGCGGATGGAAAATCATCTAATGACGCCTTTCGCTCTGGGTGAAGCGTAAGGGAGTGTCAGACTTTTACTGACTAAAAACCATCCGTGTTCCTTCAGTGCCCTTACGTTCCGGAGCCGCGGTATCTCTTTCGAACAGCCCGCAGCCCCGGCAGCCGTCGGCCCTTGCGGGCCCCTTCACGCTGCTGACAGCTCTTTGAGGCGCGCGTGGAACAAAACGCGCCGTCGACACGGCCTGTCGTTGTTAGACAGACGGACGGGAGTACCCATTGCTCGCCGTCCACAGGCCCGCGCCTACGGTGGCCGGGGGGCCACGACGTAGCCCCCGACGCCCGGGGCGTCTCCCGCGGCGGCCGGGGAGGAAAGCTGCTGCTCTCTCCTTCCCCTCCGCCACCTCCTTCGCGAGCATCACTGCTTCGCAGAAGGTGGTGATGGTATCCCATTCCGTCTCGCTTCGGACCTAGCTACGACCAGGGCCGGACGCGAGAGGTCGCCGCCGCCTATCGCCGCTACGAGGACACGGCGGTGCTCCGCCCAAGCAGGGCACACCTCCACGGTGTGTTCCACCGTGTCCTCCGGTCCATCCTCGCAGTGAGAGCACCCGTGCGTTTCCTCCCGCCCGATTCGGTGCACGTGCCCAGTACGGGGTTGCGACGGTCGCTGTCTCCATGTCGCCATGAGATCGTGCCGGAAGTCTGTCCGCTGCGCGACAAGGGGGGACTTAGCCTGCGCTTATT